ATTAAAATAATATATTATATATTTTTTCCAGTATACCCTCAGTGACCGATATATTTCAATTATTAAACGAATTCAATTTTGAAAAAAACAAAAAATGTTGAAAAATTCTTTAAAAAAATTTCGTTATAATAATATAAAAATATTTACAGTGTACCCTCAGCAATCCACACATATGATATACTTAACAAGCGCGCTATTTCTTTGCTTAGTCAAATATTGTACTAACTGCATTATACATTGAGGTGCGCGCTAACGGTACTCCACAAAAGTGTACACAGAAACGATTATTATTCTCACTACAGCGACAGTGTTGAGCGTAGAAGGCCAACTTAGACTTTAGGCTGTTACAAATGCAGTATATTGTATGACTAATTGTGTGTAAGTATGTATATCTGCATATATATATACATATGCATATATGTATATGTTCTTATGTATGTATTATACGTTGAGTATGCATTATGCGTTAACTAAATTGTGATATTTACAGTGATTCGATTTGTAATGAATGTTTTTTTATATTTATTCGAGCAAATCGATAACTAAAATAAAGTTAAAAGAACGCGAATACCAATTACATATGTATATATGATTTGCTTTGTTGAAAATGCAAAACAAAAACAAAGAACGAAATTCTGGAAAATGTATGAAGTTTGTGTTGGTTATTTGGAGAGTAAATGGAAAGGTGGCAAACACAAGCGAAAAGCAGAAAATCTCTTAGTACAATCCAAGCTTGAAATAATTTTCTACAAAAATGCTTTGCCAAACGCTGCAAATATTTTCGAAAATGAAATATTTGATTTGTGTTAAAAGCATTTTAATGTTACACAATTGTATAGAGAGCACTCGTTTTTATATATAACAAGTAAGCAATTAGAGTTTTATTAACAAACGATTGAAGTATTTATATTAAATATTACTAAACGAAAGCTTTTTTGATTTGGTTTTTGTATATAACAAGGAAATAAAGTATATATATATAGTATATAACGACTTTCGTCTAGTTTTTCGAACTTTATTTATTAGAGCTTTTGTTTTTCTTTTTGTTTTTTGTTAGCAAGTTCCAATTTATGCCCTAAAAAACGTTAAGCAACTGAAACAAAATTTTTATTTAAAATTTTAAATTTAAACTGAGACTAAATCATATTTCATATGTAGATAACTCTATGGTATCTTTGATATTGTGCATAAAAAATGCACTAACAATTTTAGAAAGCAGATATTTTAATAAAAAATTTAGCGCTCTTCAAAAAGCTCTTGATGATTTTTTCCACCGCCGTTAAAGTTATGCTTCAAATGTACTGAACATTTATACGAGTGAATAATGCTTACCGTGTTACTCATACGCCATGGTGCTCAATACCTGCTAGTGCTCTCGTATAAATCCTCAGTTCATTTGATGTGTGACTAACTGTGTATAACTTATAAACGAGTTGTTTTATGAAAAAAATCATGAAGGCCTTTTTTGTAGAGCAGAAAATTTTCTATTGAATTGTAACTTTTTTAGAGTTATTCGTTATGGAGTTAAAATATTTACTACAAAAAAATAAAAAATAAAAAAGGAAAAATTGATTGAAAAAGAATTATGATTTAAACAAGGTTTAAATTGAAAAACAAGCTGCTTTTTGTTGCATAACATTTTTAGTGTAAAAACTGAAACTTCAGGCAAAATTTACTTTTGAAATAACGGACAACCTTATATGGATACACAAACTAAATATCTAACTAACGACACAAAAATTTTGAAATATATTAAAAAATAAAACAAAAATATTAAACAGCTCTACATCTAACTAACTGTTAACTATAAAGTATTACCACACTACACATACTCTGAAATGTAATTTGATTTTATTATAACCGTTAAACTTTCGAAAGCGCATATACGCTGTTATATAATATAATCCATATTGTAGCACTACGAAAATATAAGCGCAAAAATAAAGCACCGCAACAAAAAACAAATATATATATATATGTATATATATAATAATATATAAAAATTTATAAATAAAAAATATATATATAAAATCGATTGAAAATATAAAATTCAAAGACATTTAACGAAAATATTTCACTTACAACTAAAAAAAAATAATTAAATACTTAGCTTATATACATAGCGACATAGACTAGCAGTTAGCTTATTTAAATGAAATTTTAGCTAGCCACGCTCATATACAAGTATATACTATATATGTAAACACAATCAGTTATATACGAAAATATATATTTAATAAAGTAAAATTATTAGAAAAAAATAAATAAAATAATAATAAATATTTTCAAATGTATATGCAGTGTATGATACGTAATTAGGCGTATATAAATATGTACGTATATGTCATAAAGGCACATATGTGTAGTTGTATGTAGTTAACTAATTTACATATAACCAATTCGTATAGCAAAGAACAAAATTTATTATAGAAACGTGGAAACATAAAATGATGCATCTGTATGTGTGCAAATGCAAATGTACATATTTACAGCATATGTAGTTGTGTATGTATGCACATGCGTGTTTAAAAAGTTGTTGAAAGTATGCTAAAGTTAGTAATTGTATGCTTGTATGTGGTTTGAGTCGCTGTTTGAATTGTTTGTACTCGCCTCATGGCAAAAAAAAAATTATAAATAAATGCGAAGCAACAACAACAATGTGTGTGTCAACAAATACGGCATCCTATTTGTTAAATTAATTTCTTTAATTAGAAAATTATATAACTGAATAAATTTGTTTAATTTGTATTGATCATTATTGTATGTGTACAACTTCAGCTACTATTAGACACTAATACCGATTGATTGATTGGTTGCATTGTTCTCGATTTAGCCGATCTTAATTACGGAAATACTTATTTAGAATTGTAAATGTATTTAACTAAATAAATTATATATAAATATATATAATATATAAATGTATAAATTTACATATATAATAAAATTGAAATTTAAAATAAAGAATACACGAGAAATGTGAATAAAAAATATTACTATTTTAATTTATGTACTGGAAGAAGAAAAAAAGGTAAGAAAATATGTGAATTTATGGATGAAAATATCAAAGAAATGGAAAATATGCCACGTTTCTATAAACCTGGTTGATTAGCAATATAAAAGAAGCAAAAGAGGAACGGAAACAGAAATGTATCAGCAACAGAAGCAGAAATAGTTTCTGTTTTCCCGATTAGCGGATTTTTCTGTAGGTTTAGATGAAAATATCAAAGATATTGAAAACATGTCTCGTTTTTATAATCCTGACAATATAACAGAAACTAAAAAGGTACAGGAACAGAAAACGGGAAAAGAAATATTTTATGGAAAGCTTCAGCCCCTGAGCGCCTTTTTCTGTATATGCCATTTATTTGAGCGAAAGCAATAAAAATTTTTTCACTCAAATATGTCGGTGCTGAGTTAAAGTACCAAAATTGGATTGCAAGGTTGATAAATGGTGATTTTAGCTTTGAAGACGAAGAACGACCTGAGCTTCAAAAGATTTTAAGATGCGGAACTGGAAGCATTACGCGATAAAGATTGTTGTGACAAGAAGAGCTCGCATAATCTTTGCTAGTCACTCAAGCAGTCATTTCGAAATGTTTAAATATTGAATCCAAGAGGTGTTGAAAGACTGCAAGTCGGAAATGCTGCTGAAATATTACAAAAAAAAAGTAGCTTTTGCATCGGATTGGGACTCTTCTCTTTCTTTATTGGTTATAGCAGAGTTTACAACATCGCGCCAATCGTTCTCCTTTTAGCTATTTGGTGTCAACTGGAGATTCCAAGTGTACCCGGGTCCTTCTCCTCCTGATCTTTCCAACAGAGTGGAAGTTTTCCCCTTCCTCTGCTTCCTTGGCGGGTGCCGCATCGAATACTCTCACAGCTGGAGTGTTTTTATCCATTCGGACGACATGACCTAGCCAGAGTAGCCGCCATCTCTTAATTCTCTAAATTATGTTCATACCGTTATATATCTCGTATAGCTCATCGTATGCGATACCATAAATCTTCCACATAACCTTTATCTCGAAAACTCGTAACGCCGACTTATCAGATGTTATCATCGTTCATGGCTCTGAACCGTATAGCAGGACGGGAATAATGAGTGACTCATAGAGTTTAGTCTTTGTTCGTAGAGATAGGTCGAAGTAGCACATGTTGGCAAGATTTATTCTGTGCTAGATTTCGAGGCTGACATTGTTGTTTTCATTAATATTGGTTTCAAGATCGATGAAATTTTCTACAACTTCGAAGTTATGACTGTCAACAGTGACTTGGAAGCCAAGTCGAGAACGTGACGACTGTTTGTTTGAGTTAGGCAACTCGAAGCAGTAGATTGAAGAAGTCGCACGATAGGTAATCGCCTTGTTTGAAACCTTGTTTGGTATCGAACGTCTCCGAGAGGTCCATTCCGGTCCTGATGGAACTTTTGGTATTGCTCAATGTTACTTTACAAGCGGTATCAATTTTGTGATTTTTATGATTTTACTAGCCGCGCTAAATCAAATTTTTAAATTGAACTGCAAGGAACAAAATATTGTTACACTTCATTATCGGCACCTTCAGAGTTGCATCCATTACCTATTCGTCGCACAGGACATTTTAGCTGATTTCTTTTCAAACGTCCCTTTTTAAGTCTATTTCAGTTTATTTTTATAGATAGATATTTTAGAGATTACGTTAATATTTGTAATACAAAATAAAATTCGTCACGAAGCTGCAGCGAATTTCTAATTTCGCTAAAAGTAAACAAACACAGGGTGAATCATGTAAATAGATAACTCAATGCTAGAGCAGCTGATTTTGTTTGTATCACTTCCACATAATTTATCTACAATTTTGTTTTTGATAAGTCAAATTGAAAACACACCGGTCGAATTAGCACAACAAAAGACATTTTTCCATTTAAAAATAAGTTTTTGCATCGCCGAGTTCAAAGCAAAATCTAATTATCAACATGGAAGACCAGGCATGTCCGCGCTGCAAAACAACAAAGTACCGCAATCCCTCACTGAAATTGATGGTCAACGTTTGTGGCCATACACTTTGTGAATCATGTGTAGATTTGCTGTTCCTCAAGGGTTCAGGTTCCTGTCCAGAATGTATGGTGCCATTGCGGCGCAACAACTTCCGTGTGCAACTCTTCGAAGATCCTATGGTGGAGAAGGAGGTAGATATACGAAAACGTGTACTGCGCGATTACAACAAAAAGGAGGAAGATTTCGCTACGCTGCAAGAATACAATGATTACTTGGAAGAAATCGAAACTATTATCTACAATCTCTGCAACAACATCGATATAATTGGCACCAATAAACGCATCGAAGCATATAGGCGTGAGAATCGTGAAGTTATACAAAGGAATAAAACACGTATGGGCCGAGAAGAGTACGAGCTGGAGGAAATGCTTGAATTGGAGCGTGCACAAGAAGAAGCACGGAAGCAGGAATTGGCTGAACTCGAAAATGAACAAAAAAAGAAAAAAGCGCGAGAGAAGGAAGCGCTCATCGACGAACTAATGTGCAGTGGCAAAGATGCCGCTGAGATTGTAAATGAATTCGCCGAGAAGGTAGAAAAGCTACGCGAGGAAGAGAAGAAACTGCCACCACCCAAACCAGCTACACAATTCTCGACAGGAATAAAATTTGGACGCACAGCGGACCAAATGTTCCTACCGTTACCAAAGGCGGAAGAGGGACCACTATATGTCCATAAAGTGCCTACGCTTTATACGGAAGGCCCAGCTGCTCCAACTACCGCCGATATCGAAAGTAAAGGTTTCATTGCGCACATACGACCCGAGAATAGCGCTGAACGTGCCGGTGGTTACAAAGCGAACTTAGCTTGTCAACGTGCTTTGCAAGAGGCATTGATGGGTCTCTACTTTGGTGCACCGACGGTTAATTGACACGAGAATGAAAATAGCATTATAAACGAAGAGCAGTTGGAGATCAGCGCTTAGTTGTATTTTGTATAACAAAGAAATGAATTTCAGACTTTAATTTAACAAACTTTAACATACCCAATTACCATAGACATATAGTTGTATACAATTAGTAATTTATAAAAGGTTTACAGAACTTGCTAAATTGAAATGATTCCTTGAATACTAGCCATGAAATAATACGCAAACTTGTAATCTATTTAAAGCATTTTATTATTATTGTTAAAATTTTCATGCCCTGAATGTCTTATAAATAATACTGTTATGATTATATTCATGTAAGGGAAATTAGTGGATACTTTTCAGAGGAATTGCTCGTTTTGGTTCTGTAGAAATATTTCTGAAATGTCCTAAGTATTTGTTTCCTTACCCAGTTTAAAGCTCAGGACGGCATGGAGATGTTCCGATATAATTCACATTATTTAAGGACCGACTGAATGTGATAACGTATTCTTCGCTAAAGCTTTGTCTAGTACTATCGAATAAATACGAATGTGTATTACTTACATACACCGGTGCAGTTAAGATTCCGACTGACTACAACCCTAAAATTTTAGGTGCGACCTTCGACAATCGGTGCTCCTTCACGAAATCCTCAAGTCACTAGCCGGCAGCACATGGCAAAATGATAAAAAAAAAATCGTTGTTGGCAACATGCAAGGCAATCCACCGGTCGCTCCCTGATTTTGTCGCACCTGTATGGTCGCCTGAATGCAGTGAAACGCAGACGAGGAAATTCTAAACTTATCTGAACACTGGACTCTGGACTACGACAGAATGCCTATTGATGCCTCACATTGAACATAGTGAGGCCCGTGTTCTCCCAGTTAAGGAACTCGTCCTCAAGCGGTGCTTGCTGGGGTGCTTTCGCAAAAGTAATCCCTGCACTTACCTGATTGGAGCGCAAACGCCACCTAGGAGCATCAACTATGTGGACTAACTAACTTCCGGCAAGCACTGACCGCCATTCATTAACACCTTCACTGACTCTCTGTTGTTGTTTTGGCGGTTACCACCGCTCCCTCTCAGTGAATGACGTACTTTTAGTGAAACCACCACACATTGCAGACGAAGATCTGGAGTTGTCGCGAGAAACTAGAGTGACTCTTGTAAAGCTTCGTTCTGGATGCTGCAATAGGTTAAGCTCCTAATTATCCATAATAGACCCTGACATAAAAGTATATGTCCAGGTCACATTGCACTCGCATGACCTAGCCACCTCTTTGCATGCCCTGCTAACTCTTTGGTCCGACCCCGTCGAAACAACACGTTTCCAGGAGCTACCGTTTGATGAGGTCTATGACAACTTATTTAATCCTTACAGGGATTAGGTACCCGTTACAACAACAACTATATATTCTATTGTAGTGTAGTGACTAGCTCGGTCGATTGAGTCATGTTCGACTGTTTGTATATACTAGAACTTTCTGAGATATCAATCTGAAATTTTGCACACGTGTCTTTCTCCCAAAGGAGATTCTCAGCTGTGGGAAGCACCGATTTCGGTCCACTATAGCACATAGCTACCATACAAACTGAACGATCAAAATTTAATCTCTGTATGGGAAACTTTTTTATTTGACAATACATATACCTTCACGATATTTCACATGGATCTTTGCCCAAGCCAATCCTATATTCTCCGAACATATTGTTCTGATCGGACGACTATAGCATAAAGCTGTCATACAAATTGAGCGACCAAAATTAAGTCAAGTATACTTTTATACGCTTTTGTGTCTAAAAATGTGCCTCTGCAGGTTTTTACACAGCCGAATCCACCACTTTTTTCCTTTTTTACTTTTAAAGAAATAAAACAATCCAACTTCATTCAATTGTATGTATGTTTTCATTATAATCATAAGTGTTTTTGTTTTATTGAATACTTGAGAATGACACGCATTTATTATTATAATTAAGATTGTTTTAACTGCGTAGAGCAATTCACATACTTATTTTACTTCATACTTGACTTACACATAAATCGACACTTATGTAACTATACGTATGTATGTATTGTAAGTATATAATAAACAGAAAAATTAACGTACACTTTATAGACAAACACAATATTACAAAGTTATTATTAAGAAAGGGAGGGGTGTGTGTAAATGTAAATTATCATAATGATTTAACGGTATACTTACATACCGCGTACTAAAATACAAGTAAATATGTATTTATGTGTATATATGTATGTATATTTTATATATAAATATTAATTAAGGTATATGTGTATGTACGTGTAAAGAATTGGCAATTACTGAATCGATAAGGAAAACGTAATTAATTAATTAATAATATATCATATGCAGATCATATGAGAAAGGAAATCACACGTTTACTGACAGGTCTACAATACAGTTGACAACTCAAAGCTAAAAATATGAACGATACAAACGAATTGCACCAAAACGTTGGGACTACAAGCTAACAAAGCGCGAAACAAACGAGCATACTGTGAGTTTAAAAGAAAATTCTAATAGGCAAATTTGGTAAATACATTTATAAAGCGCAAAGAAAGCTATGCGGCGATGCAAGTGAAGAATTAGTTGGATTTTTGACGCTTGACGCATTTAATTTTATACATTTCTACATTTCTCATTTACTTTAACATTTTGCGTTTCCCTTCATTGCTGTAAATGATGCAGAAAATGTTTTCAAATAACTGCAGCAGCTCAATAAAATATTTTTTGTTAAAAATATAAAAATATTTGTTTGGCAAAGAAATTTCGTTTAAAAATATATATATTTGTTTGGTTAGGTTTGTTGGGCTTTATTGCACTTTCAGCAAACACATCATGGAATGTTGTTGCTGCATTGCAGACGAGTTTGCAACATTCATTAGATAATTACTGTTATATTTTAAAGAACTTTTTTACTGGTTTAATTGTTATGTTTTCATATATATTTGCTTTCTTTTTGTATATTAAATTATAACTTTGTTGTTATTTTCGCAGAAAAGCTAAAACAAAGCACACAAAAAATATTAAATAAAAATAAAATAACACAAAAAAACATGCAGCAATAAATAACTGTTAATACGTTTGATTTTTTCTTTTTTATAAAATTACGTTTCGTTGTAATTTTACTGCATTTTCCGGAATTTTACAAACTTTAGCACAGTGTAGCAAAAATGTCTTTTCCAACACGCTAGCCTAAATATTCATACACGCATAACATAATTATAATTATAATTCATGATTTTTATTTTTTGTTAGTTTCGAAAATTTAGACACTTTTTCCATTTAACGTTGTTGGCTTGCTTTAAATCATTTTGTCAGTATTATGTGTGCTTTGTTTTGTATGTGTGTGTATAATGCATGTTTGCGTCTCAAAAATGTTATTTATCCTCTGTCTTTGCCTTCATTAAATTTATATTTATTTTAAGTTTGCTTTTCTTTTTGTTGTTGGCGCGCTAAGTTAAAGTAAAATGTATATAATAATTAAAATATATGTAKGTATGTATGTATATGTAAATTTAAAATACGATATTTCTTTTGTCACGCATACGGCTGCGCAAAGTCACATCACAGGCTGCCCTCTGCTTAAACGCTTTCCTCCTAACCAAACAGCTGTTATAGTTTAAAATTTATTTTAGCTGTTTTATGTTTTAGTTTTTGTTTGTTTGCAATTTACAGTTGATTAGTTATGTGTGTGTCTGTGTGTTTGTGGATGCGCGCTTACGTTTGTGTTTTACACGTCGGCGTATTTTTTTCACAGACAATTTACTCTCAGTGTATATTTGCGTAATTTGTTGTTGTAGTTCCATTCTAAGTACCAGCAATGAGTTTGTCAGTGCAGCGAACAGCTTATTTGTGTACCGATAGGTAGCGGTATTCAACTTCCACTAGACCGAATCGTCTGTAAAAAAGAACGTGTTGCGGATTACTACTTTAGTTAAGTGAAAATAAAATAAGAAATATATAAGGAAACTATCAATGTTGTTGTTGTAAACAAAGAGAGGGGATCTAGGTATTGTAATCGACATTTTCTTATAGCATAAAGGGTATGATAAAGATTCTGATCTTGTTTTTGATTATTCAGTTTGTATGGCAGCTTTATGCTATAGTGATCCGATTTGAACAATTTGGCCAGAGATTATAGCATTGTCTTGGATAATAAGCCATGTCAAATTTCTTGAAGATATCTTGTCAAATAAAAAAGTTTTCCATATAAGAACTTGTTTTGATTATTCAGTTTGTATGGCAGCTATATAGTGTAGGGGTCCGATAACGGTGGTTTTTGATCTTATTGAATTTCCTAATTGTCGTGACCTAAAGCATCTACATATTTGGATAGAAGACGGTGTGGTGAAAAGGATATATATATGTACTTGTACACAAGGTGCGTTCCACAAACCACATATTCGGATCGTATATAATGAAGTAGTAGTACTAGTCAAATTCTAACTATCGATGAATACCAATTCATTTAATTAACGTTTTGAGGTTTTACCTAAATTCAAAAGTTTTTGAAACTCACCATGATACCACCATTTGGTCTTTTTCGGATTCTTATTGCAGGTTTTTACGTATAACGTATTATCTGGTGGACGCTTCTTTTCACGGCAACTACTAAGCATCGATGCTATGCTCAGACAGACAGATTGTACTGATAGCGCTGGCGACCAATCTTCTGTCAATATGGAAAGGCAGATATGTCCATTGGAGTAGACGTGCGGATGCACAGGTATATTGTTGCCAATAAACGTCACCTGCGATGGATAACAAAGTGTGATAACAATGTAGTAAATCAGTGTCATAAACATATACATATGTATATRTTTACATACATATATATATATTTGTATAAAATTATGTGTGTATGTGTATGTGCTCACCTCTGGCGAATCGAAGGGATATTTATTGTTAAATTTGAAGAGTAGCTGAAAGTTTTCACCTTCATACAGGGTGCCCTCGAAGCCGGCAATATTTATTTTCCATCTAAAAGAGAGGAATTTATATACAATTACAAATATATTTGTAGAGTGATATAATTTCAACTATATATATATGTGTGTGGCTTACTCTGATAAGTTTTGTCCTATACTATCGGTATCGACGGTAACACCCGGTGGCGGTTCCTTTATCAGCGACATCAACTCTTTGTGCAATCTTCTCTGTAAATAGAAGAAAAGATGTGGAAGTATTGTTAGAGAAAACAGCAACAATGAAGTCACATTCAACAGCATTTATAATTAAAGTGTAGCAATATTTATGCGACAAAGACTAATATTATACAATTTCGATTGCGCCAGTTGATAATAAAGGTAAAATACACGCACTTTCGGCCTTCAGTTAAAAGTCTTAGAATAAAATTGTAAGCGTTTAAGCTGCTGCTGAAAGTTTTTTATACCCTGAACGTCGGATATATACAAGTACTTGTACGAAAAACTTTTTTATTTGACAAGACATCTTCGAGAAATTTGGCATGGCTTAATGTCTAAACTAACGCTATCATATCGGTGCAAATTGTTTAGATCGGACTGCTTTAGCATATAGCTGCCATACGAAGTGATCGTGCAAGATCGTGCATGTGACTGGCTATCCTCACGAAATTCGACACATATGTCTGCATAAAGCAACTGTGTAATCTGCGAATAAATTGTTTAGAACGGACAACTATAGCATATAGCTGCCATACAAACTGACTGCTCAGAAATAAGTACTTGTATGGAAAACTTATAAATTTGAGAAGATATCCTGACTAAATTTGGTAATAATTATTGTCCTAGAGAGCGCTACAATTTCCGAACGTATTATTCAGATCGAGGCACTAGAACATATAGCTGTCATACAAACTGACCAATCGTTTTCAGATCCTTGTATGGAACAATGTTTTATTTGAAGAGATATCTTCTCGAAATTTGGTACATATTATTATCTATGGCAATCGTATAAATCCTGAACACATTGTTTAAATCAAATCATTATAGCATATAGCTGTCATACAAACTGACCGAACAAAATCAAAATAAAAAAAATATCTCATTATTATTCTTGGAAGTAATACCCTTTTATGCTATAATAATGCACATATGAAGGGTATCACAGCAGAAGTTAACGGCTTTTCTTGTTACTGTTGTTTTAAATGTTCAAAGCTCGAGAATTGGCGCCGAAAGAAAGCATTTTAATATACCGTACTTATCACTGGTTTTGATTTCCAGACTTAAAAAGCTCTTCGAACGCATTAAAAAAGCGACGAAATATTCAAAATATGACCGACTTACTTGCAAAATCTTAAGGAACTATGAAGGTGTCTAGTTTGTGAAATGCTGGCAGCTTTTTATACAATCTTTATTGGCATAAATGAAATGTGGAGTATAATGCTAAGACAATTATACACAGAAATTTACTTTTATATACATACATACATAAGTGTATATATGTTTATGTACATAGATATGTATCTACGGTACGTAAATATTACAATCCTTTGACGCAAACACGCCAATAAGCTTTTATAGCGTCTAATTATCGATAAGATAACTTAATTTTTCTGCAACGCTTGAGTAATTATACACAAACATAAGTGTATTAGCATGTGATGTTTGTATATAGCTCAAATATAATTTATATATATAGACATATTTATATACAAAAGACAACATCTTATTTTTTCGACAATTGAATTTGATAAACGTTTGTTTATTGTGTGTACATTAGCTACATGTATGTATGTATGTATACTTTATAACCGTAGTGATGATGAGTACTATTTATTTTAGATATTCGCGAAAAACAAAACACAATTTATGAGCTGTTCTTAGTCAACATTGTTATCGTTGAAGTAATGATAAGATAGCGGAAATAAATTTATTTATATCGATTAACGGTACAGATTTCCACTTGAAGATGGTGTGGTCAGAGTGCAGTGCTGCATACTCGAATCCTATGGAATGACAATGAAAAATTGCAAAGTAGCTTAAGTGGGGATTTTTCAGTTAGTATTATTTGGTATATACTGTATGTATGTAGTAGGTACATGGAAGGTTATAAGATAGTAAGAACTTAAATGCACACATCGTAAAGGTTTTAAGGTGCAAATTTTGCACACGTCCCTTTCTAATCAAGACGCTGCTGATTTGTCGGTACTGCCGATATAGGACCACTATAGCTTATGTAACAAAATGAAGCCCTTGTATGAAAAACTTTTTTATTTCACAGGATATCTTCACGCAACTCGGCACATATTATTTTCCAAGGCAACACAACAACCTCCGAACAAATTGTTCAGATCGGACCACTATAGCTTATAGCTGCCATGCAAATTGACCTATCAATATCAAGATAACGATATTTGTATACCCTTTATGCTATAAGAAATGCGCCTGAGAAGGGTCTTATAGTTTTATAGTTTCGGAAGTTAACGTCCTTTTAAATTAAAAAAAAATATATAGTCATATACCAATACTCCCACTAACAACAACATACACTTCTCTATTCATTCTTTCTTTACCTGTCTTACTTATCCTCTCATATCTCTTTTTCTCATTTCATAATTTCCATACTTGCTAATTGATCTTTCTTAAACTAAATTCTCTCTTTCCTTAAATAGTAATAACAACAACAGTAAAGATTTGCACTCATTAGTTTTAAGCTTACATACATTATGTTAACTTTCGAGATGTAAGGATTGGAAATTGGAATCATAAATAAAGTTACATTCGAGAAGAACGGACTTGTTATTATATATATTTTTCTTCACATCAATAGTGACATCTTCTTGTTTAACTAATTTCAACCTGAGCGGAAGTCATTTGAGAAAATTTATCCATCCCCAGCAAAAAAGTACCCCAAATGCTATTTTTAAAGATTTATAGCACCGAAAAGTACATCTTTTGAGTGATATAACATTTAGACAATGACATGCCCATATTTAACTATGTTTGCGTAGCTAGCTTCTTCAGATAACGATATCATTATTATTCTGCAAGTAATTATTTTTATGTACGTAAATTATCAAACACGTCACCAGTTAAACAAAAATATATAAATTACATGATGGGAAAGTATTAAGTTGTTTTAGATCTCGCTATGACATCATTAGTCACACACTATTAACCCATACAAGTGCTATAGATGACTTGTGTTTCTGTGACACTCCACCGTTTGAAAATGTGTAAAATTCCATGGAAATTCATTATGCATAAAAATGTGTAGTAAATGCGATAAACCACAGTAGAAATTATGAATGCGTATTACATTTTATCAGTAGTAGCAAATGTAAAATTCTGAAATGATATAATTAGGGGTTTCATATAGTCTCATAAAGTTATAAGTTATAACGATCTGAAAATATAGCGTTGAGTATTCTAATTCCCTGACTCATTTTTGTATGTTATCCAACAAAAAATTTTTTTGTAAAAAAGTGTAAAAATTTATTATTTTACGATGCGTTATTCCAATTAGAAATCATTAATTAAAATCCAAAAGAGTTACGAAGGCTTTCTCAATCAGTACAGCGCTTCTCTAAGTGAAAACCAAGTCAACATGATGGTTTTAATTCTAAGCCACGAATCGTGGGTAAACGATCATTCAATATAACCCTAAATGTAGGCAATGAATTTTCACCAATTTTAAAAAATAACAAAAATGAATTTCAAGGAATCGATTACCGAACGTATATTCACCGAAAACCAGTATCCGAGATGTGAACGTATTTTTAAGATTTATTTAAGTGGTTACATGGGTTTACGGGTTTCAAACCCGTTTTTTTTTTTGGTTTTTTTATTGTCTTATTAAATTCTACACCACTTCTAGAACATTGTCCTAAATTTTCAAGTTGATCTGAGTAATAGTTTCGGAGATACAGCCTTGAGAACTTTGTGAGTTCGAGGCTAGCTAGGCTAAATGCGCCGTCTTTAAAGGCGTTTACCCCGAAATTGTGTTTTTGAAGTCGCTTGACAAGCTTTCTCGAAAACACTTAACCGATCTTCATGAAATTTTACACTGTTTTTTATTTTCGATTACAACTATTTGAAAAAAAAAAAAATTAGCGAAATTTTCATCTTTATGTAAAAATATCTAAAGCTCAAATTTTTTTCATTTTGGATGATCCTGATGAGTTATACTGCCAACGTGGGCATCTTTTTTCGAGTGGATAACGGAAATGGTTGAATTGAAAATATTTATTTTTTCCGAAAATTTCAGTATTTCTTTGTTAATAGAGTATGCTTATAACAATAAAAAATTATAATAAATATTTAATTTTTACATGAGAAAAATATTGTTAAAAAATGCCAATGCTGTTTTTTGCAAAAGAAACCCATGTAACCCCTTAACTGTTGTGCTTTTTTGTTTTGAAAATCTGACAAACATTGTTCAGAGGGCGCCAATTTTCAACTCTGGACACGCTGTTTACAGAATCTGAAATGCAAATTACGATTTTTACGGTTTTTTCGGAACGCCGTCACTTCGGCAAAAATAAAAATGTTTAGTAGCTCCTCAACCAATAGCTGAATTAATTTATTCTTAGTTACAATATTTTTACTGAATTTGGATTTCAGTAAAATTTAAGCAAAAAAATATTCCCCAAATCCGGACACATTGTTTTAGAGACCCACTTCAAAACAAAACAAAAAAAAAAAGAAGAGAAAAATAAATCTTCACAAAACCGCATACTGGATATAACACCTCGAATATATAAATATTTGATGATAAACACTGTTTTGCAATAAAAATTCTTTCAATAAAATTGCTGCTTAATTAGTTTATATTTTCAGCAGTCCTCATTTATAGTAGGTCAAAATTTTGGCTGCATTAATATTGGTTAAATATTTTGAATATTTTTTGCCACTTTTTTTTGAATATTTTATTTATAACAATAATAAGATTTTTTTTCTTTTGCTCTAATATAAAGCCTTAAATTGCTGTCAATACTTGCCTCCCAACGCGTGTTGTCCAACACCAGCGGTTTGCCGCATTTCGTGCGCGGCTCTTTGGTCACCTGCGGTTCACAAGTGATGATTTCCGATTTTGGCAACTTGTCTTTCTTGCTCTTGAATATTTTCAACATTTTGTCGGCGTGCAATTTAATAACACTTGCAACTGTGTTGCTGTTGTTTTTATGTACTATTTTCGTAGCAACAAATTGCAGTACGAAATKTATTTATTTTTGTATTTTTTCTACCAAAATCTGGTAGATATGGCAGCACAGACCGCGTGCACGGCGCTAGTGATAAAGCCTTATTGTTTTTATGTAATTTTGCGGCGCTGATGTAATATTTCTAGATTGCGAAAACAAAATGTTTTTATTTCATTTGAGTTTGTAATTCAGTTAACGGTTAATTAAGTCGCAAACACTGAGGCACTCGGCGATTTCTGCCGCTGACTTTGACCAACGCGCTGTGACGGAATGATGCAGGCGAGCAGGTTTGTATTAGATAATATGCATTTTGTTGTAATTTTACGCTTTGTTTTGTTTTTGTAAAACACTTTAGTCAATGCATTTGCAATTTAACGGCATTTGCGCGACAAATTGGTTTAGACGCTGCAACAGACACATACCGCACACACACACACACACACACACGTGGGCAATGAGAAATGCCACAATTATTGCACAAATCTAGTCGGCGAATTGCATTTAATTTTGCCACCCCTGCATGCACTCCACACTTCACCCAATGGCGACACACAATGCTGCTTTCGGTTTGGCGTACTTTTTTAGTAGATTTGCAATTATTTTTTGTTGTTATTGTTCTTTAATTAATTTTCAAGTGAGTCGTGAGTCGTGTGTCTGCTGGTGACTTGAGACGCGAAAACTTTCTCAACTAACCGAAAAACAATAATTACACCTTTCGAAACCACATTCGTTCAAAATAAAAAATAGTATATTTTTCCTCTATATTTCAACTTTATGTTTTAAAAACTTTGTTGTTGCTTTGCAAAATACTCCGTACGAGCGCTGCGAGCAGTTGCACGTACCAAACACGAATATTCACTGGCGACTCAAGGAAATCGCTAACAACAGCACCAGCGGCACGAAAACGAACGCGCAAGCAAAAAGAAAAACAAATCGGAAAATAAATGAGTTAAAAAAGCGAAATAAAACGTAATGAAAAAGCAATGCTATCAGCGCCAGCCATAGCAATATAAACACACGCTGGTTTAGTGTGGCTCAATATTTTGCTTCGATTGCAATTCACCTTCCTGTGTGCGCGCGTATGTGTGTGTGTGTGACTATGATGATTTTTATTGCTCGCTCGCTTTCGTGTGTTTATTATTGTTATTTTTTAAATACCTTATCAGTACCCCCTTCTTCTGCTTTACTTATTTTCATCATCTTATTTTGGATCGCACAAAAAATTGCCTGTATATTGTCAATTTCACTGCAAATGAGATTGAAAGCGCTGATAGCGGTTGATATTAAAGCTTAAGATCCGAACGGGCTTCTGCAGTCTTTCTGGCTGTCTGCCTCAACTACTGTGGCGTGAGTTACTTTTTATCTACGTTCCAGTCGTCATTTTTCGATTGATTGATTCGCCTTTTTGGCGTTGCCAATTTATGACCTCTGATTTTGTGTGTGAGAAGTGACTCAATTAATTTTGCCTCAATTCAATACACTACTTTTTAAAATAGTATAAAAAAAAACGGCCGATTAAAAGAAAAAACAAGAAAAATTTAATATCCCGTGTCCAAACAGCGTAAAGTTCGAAAGATGTTCGGGTTCCAATCCTTGCTAGGATCCCTTTTGTCACTCATTAGCGGTAAATTCACACGATTCTAGCAACTTTAGTCGGATAATTTTCTGCAATCATTTTCATATCACAGGTGACAGAAGAGTCCATGTGTGAAAAAATTCTAAGTAGTTTAAGTAAAAAAGTTATACATATCTCCGTTTTGTAAAGTTAGCAGCCAAACTAGAAATATTTGCCTTTAAAGTTCGAAATTAAGCATTTTAACAACGCTTTGATTTCGGTTCGTCACCACGTCCAGGACAGACATCAACATCAACTGATGATTAAGACGCCAATAAAATAAAAGAATTGGTGTTTGAGAATCGGCGATTAACAGTTAGAAATCTTAATGCCATCGTCGAAAGCATTTTAAAAGATCATTCGGGCCTTATAACAGTAAAACGCGACTGATTCTAAAATCAAACCATTTTTTCGAAAAACAGCGTCGCGTTAACGTCTATGAAATAATACTTTCCGACTACCAGGATATCATGAAACGTATTCTTACTGGCGACGAATCTGGATCTATACTTTCGAAACGGAAACACAAGATCAATGGGCTGAATATCGTGGCAAATGTGAGTCGAAGCCGAAAAAACCACGACAAAGAAGGTAAAAAATTAAGGTTATGTTGGCATTTTTGTTCGAATATCGAGATAAGGCTCCGAATTCCTTCCGACTGGGCAAACTGTCAGCAAGGAATACTATTTGAGGGTTATGTGTGGTTTGCCTGAAATTTTCTTAAAAATAGGCTGGGATTATGTGGGCGACAGCTCTCGATTTTTGTACCAAGTTGATGAACCGTTGCATACTGCATTGATTCTTCGTGAGTTTTTCGCCATTTTTTCAACCAATATCGTGCCGCAACTATCGTATTCCCGTGATTTAGTTCCGTTTGACTTCTGGCTATTCAGCAAACTCAAACGATCGCTCCAGGGAAACCGTATTGAATCATTTGAAGATATTGGACACTCTTTCCTCAATTCACTGGATAAAAAGGAATTTCGTGTGTTAATAAAACATAACTTTCCCGGGTGAAAAAATACTGTTGAATGCAAGGTTTGGATTGATCAACATTATTTGGACTCTGCACCAGGGGAATTAACCGTTGACAAGTGTTTTGCTAAGTTTGAACGGAGCAAAATGAACCCCTGAAAAGGTTGCTACCGACGAAAACATCAAAAAAGCCCACAAAATAATTTGCCCATTTAATGAAAAATTCTAATCGTACAAAACTTGAGTCCAAATTTGTAACACGATTATAGTTGGATACCACTATTATATTCGACAAAAGAATCGTATGCAATATTCTTGAATTATTTTTCAGTGAAAACACTTTTTTGCCACATTTTCGCTTTTCTCTGGCAATCAATTTAAAGTAGAATAACAGTTAATAAATCAACTGCAATAATATGAATAGCCAAGTTTTGCGATAACATTAATATCTTCAACAAACAAGCAGAAAGGAGTTTACTATATGTATATTTAAAGACATTCTCCACTTAAATATAAGCGCATTCGTACACTCCACATGGCCGAATGCCCCTGAACCTGGTTATTTGCATACATAACTACCTACATGTGTACTGCTATGTGCACAATTTTGTTTTTGCTTTCGGTGCCAGTTATTGTCGAACAATTAAGACTACTTGACAACTTCGGCCACGACAATCGAAATACATTTTTTTTAATATGTATGAAAACGGTGCCGCAGATCAGTTGGTCAAGGCTGAGTTAGGCGGATAACCTTAAATGAATCATATATTTGTATGTATTTATATAAAAAATTATTAAGTAAAAGCTGATTGGATTTATCAACTGAAGTAGTGTACGGTGATGTACAGATGGCAAAATGCTTGGCTACTTTCGAGAAGCGTCGAAAAAAGGTAAAATTTGCGGCCTTAACTAAACTAAGCTTCTTGTTAATTTATTTCGGCTTTATATGCAGTTAAACTTGTTAGGGGTCTGTATTTGAATAGAAAATTAATGCTTGAAGGAAAGCAACGGCAGGTGAGAGGGGTCAGCTCAATGCAAAATGCGTTTAAAAAATTTAGCTTTTGTTGATATGGGAAGATTTAAACGAGTAGTCGTAAGAATACCTTGTAATGAGGAAACGGAAATGGAATTATTATTTTCTTGTAGGCCTTATTGGATAAGGGAAATACTAAATTTGCACAAATAATTAATAAAAAAAACAAGTAAGGAAGGGCTAAGTTCAGGTGTCACCGCACATTTTATACTCCTGCAACATACCAGGATCAAAACCCTTAGAAAACTATGGGAGTTTCTGATAGTATTGTTACGTTTGTATACCATCTTCCCAGTAACAAATACTAAGAAAATGTGCCCTGGGTTCCTTTGAGGTACCTCACATACAATCACCACTCATAGGAAGTAAGTGAACCAGATGGTCGAGAATTCTTCTATTTGTTATATAGGAGGTAGGTCAAGTTTTCCAATTTGAACCATTTTGGGTACAAAAATACACTGTTGTGCAAGAGTGTGTATGAAAATCAGAAACTACATAAGCAACATCTTTTTTCTAAAGAGCATGTTTATCTCCGTTATTAAAAATCAAGTTCATTGAAAGTTATTGCCTTCCAGAAACCGACCTGCGGAGCATTTTGAACTCCTTGCTCCAAAAATAAATTTATTGAAACGCACTCACACGCTTTAGTTTTCGACAATCTTATCGACTTTATGGCAAGTTATTGCCCACAATTTCATCGAACACACACGCTTACAACATTCTTATCAAAATGAAATGCGCAACTGATAAGATACGGTCGGTGTACTTAGCATGACAATATCGTAAGCCAACTGTTTACCAGCTACAATATCGATAAGGAAATAGATAATAATCATAATTTTTGTAAGAAATTGTTTGCGAAAAAGCAACGAAATATTATATATTTATGCAGAAATATTTACTTTCAATGATTGAAAAAAAAAAAAAAAATTGAACTTAAAATAAACAAATAAAATTCCATTAAAACTGCTTGCTGTTGTTTATCATCAATTTATCTTGCGAGCCAGTGTGAGACAGAATGTCTATCCCCGCTGAATGAGTGGGTGTAAATAAAGGTGGTAATGAATTAATGTGAGCGCTGCGAAGTCAAAGCTCAATTGTAATAAGATCATCAAGGCAGTTTCACGAGAAGACGCGAGCGAAAATTTATTGCAAATTATTTTGATGTATGTACTACAAATACAAAGCATAGCGCAGGAAAATGAAAATTAATAATAATAATTAATATTAGTTGATTGAAGTGGCGAGAGCAGCCGGTAGCAAAGTCCTAAATATTAGATATGTATATGTACATACATTTTAGATAAACACAATTTAGATGAATGTGGCAGAAATAAACAGTATATAAACTGTAATATACATACACTGTATGTATTACATATGAATGTATGTAGGTATTGCGGTTGTTGACATACAATGTGCATACAGTGCAAGTGGATATAATATATGAGGTGCCCAAAAGTAATTGACCTGATAATTTTTTCCATTGGAAACAGAAAGTTCGATTTTTTTTTTTTTGGAATAGAGTTGCCAACTACACTTCAAATCGAATTTAATTAATAGAGTTATGTATTTTTAAAAATAGTTTGTTTTAAAGTTTGAAATATTATTAAACGTATTTTTAATAATCATTTGGCAATTAGCCTGAAATAAAATATGCTAAAAAATATGATATTAAAAAAAAAAATTTCCTTTTTTAATATTTTGGGAAATGTTGCCACTTATTTGAAATATTATTATTTTTAAACAAATTAAGTATTTTAACAATGATTTGTCAATTAGCTTGAAAAATGCTAAAAAATCGATATTTTTTTTAATTACTTTGGAAACTTTGCCACGTAATAATAATATTATTATTAAATAAAATTATTTTTTGGCAATTAGCAATGCTAAAAAAAGTGACGTTTTTTAAAAACTATTTTGGAAAATATTGCCACCTATTTTCAAATGTGATAATTATTATTAAATAAAAATATACATTTTTAATAATAATTTGTTAAATAGCTTTAAATACGCAAAAAAAAAATAAATTTTTGGGAAAATGTTGCCACTTATTTTTAAACATTATTGTTTTTGAAAAAAAAATTTTATTTTAAATAATTATTTGCCAATTAGCTTGAAATATGCTCAAAAATATTTATCTTAAAAAAAAAAAAAGAAATTGGTAAATGTTCACTTATTTTCAAATAGTATTGTTTTTAAAAAAATTATGTATTTTATATAATGAT